GGCAGCCAGCTATGTGCGTTGCTAGTAAGTCCTTACTAATACCAAGAGCAACCATGGCAAGGCTAGTTTTTAGGGCTGGGGATTGAAGCAGCTCTGATCTATGGTAGGACCAGGGTTCTCTCTGCACATTTGTAAAAGGCGGAAATGGCTCTACTTGTAAGTGGGATAACTGTCCTGCCAAGTGATAGGAATTTAGAATGGAGGGACCCTGACTGACTCCAGGGCTTTGCTGTCATTGAGAATCATCTCCAAGAACCTCTGTAAAACACTGAAGCTTCATAGAAGATTAGTTTCTTGCTGTCTACTGGTACAGAAAATCTACTGCAGGAAATTTCTCTTCTCTTGGAAGCCTTTTAAATTTCCCTATAAAAGTAACTCAGAGAGTATACCTGTCTGTTCTTCTACCAAGATTCTCTTAGGCTGACGGAAGAAATGGGTGTTGTTCCTGCTATTCATCTTTCTGATAATTTGTGTCAGTGTTGAGACCAAGATGCAGATTCATGCTTCCCATTCCTCCCCTTGCTGGTTGCTGAATTCCCACTCTCCGTTCAGCACAGTACTTCTACAGTAAAGAGGGCAGGCTTGTTGAGAGATACTGTTTGTGGGGAGATTGAGGCTGCCTGTACAAGTAGAGGAGCAAAGTAAATTCTCACAGGGAGGGAAAGAAAACAAAACTAACCTTTGAGAATTTATCCCCAGAAAGAATGGGCAGCAAACAAAGGGTGCATTATTACTTTCAGTGACTCTGCTTGCTGTTAGGCAGTGGGAGCTGTTTATCCATAACAAGGTAATGAGATGGGGATTTGAATCCTCTTATCCAGATTCACTTGGCAGAGGCAGCACTGAGCTGTACAGCTTCAGAACAGGGATCTTGAGGGCACCGGGTCATGCTGTGATTAGTGAGGAACAGCAAAACTTTGAATTTCTGGCTCCAGGCAAATCTTACTTTCTTGACAAACTTTTCAGAAAGTTACTGGTAAGAGATACCTATATGTTGAATACAGGAAACATTTGGGGGAATGGGAATGAAATCATCTGGGGGTGTATTTGCTTGTGAAATTCTGCACTTGTGAATTGCTCCACTTTGGTACCACCGGGTGGGCTTGAGCTGGTAGGAGTAAAATTGTGGCTCATGGCAGTGGCAGCAGTGGTTATGAATTTGGTTTTAACAGAACTCCACTGTCTGAGAAGCCACCCAGTTCTCTTGAATAGGGGTGATGCTGTCTCCAGCACTCCCAGGCTGGTCAGCAGAACTTTGATGCTCCTTGGGCTGTTCTAGTTCCAGAAAAAAATCAGTTGTTTGTTGTTTTTGTCTCTGCTCCTTTACAGTCTGTGGCCTTGGATGTAGTGCTCCTGCTTTACCCTGAAACATACCCCTTGTGAGCCCAACAGGCCACAGAGTTTTGTCTGAAATTGTTCATCTTCCTAATAGGGCTCAGATTGTGATGTGGAAACGCCGGCCAACTTTGGAAAATACCTTGAGTCATTTTTAGCCTTCACAACCCATCCCAGCCAGGTACGTACAGGGCTGAAAGTCTTACGTGCGTCTGTGTAAGAGCGTGTGAATGCGTAATTGAGATAACCTATAGAAGACTGCAGGACTTCAGCTGCCAAATATTGCTCTCCAGACTCTCCATTTCAGGTGAAGTTTCCACCCCATCAGGATCAGTGCCTGGTACAGGTGCTGAGTAGAAAGTGTAGAATTTGCAACAGCCCTGGGATTTACTTAGAGATTTTTGGCATTCTGGAGATTCGGGTTGCACCTGCAAAGCACCTTGGCCTCAGCTGAAGAGCCAGTATAATTTGCTGTTGCTTTCTGATAGCAGCACTTAATGTTGATAGCAACACTTAAACAGTGGAAATTCCAGCACTGAAATCCTTCTCTGTTCCTTGCTCTTCTCTCTTCCCCCAGTTTCTGCGCTCTTCCACTCAGATCACATGGGGAGCCCTCTTTCGGCATGAAGTTCTGTCTCATGACCCCTTGTTACTGGCCATGATTCCCAAGTATCTCCGTGCGTCTATGACCAACCTGGTGAAGGTATGTGGGAACTGTGGCTGGTTGGGAGTGGGAAGGTGCCTGAGTGAACATGGCCTGTGGGTTTCTGTCTTGTCTGCCAGAGACACAATCTCCAGGCTGCTGAGCAAACAGCTCTATCTCAGCCTTTTGCTGCCTGCTCCTTGCCTCCAGCCTTCATCTCCTTGAAGCTGGTGTTAGCTGTGATAGACAACTTCTCTTCCTTCCTGACCTTGTGTGCTTTGTCTCCAGGTGGGCTTTCCCTCTAAAACAGACAGCCCCAGTTGTGAATACTCCCGCTTTGATTTTGACAGCGATGAGGACTTCAATGCCTTCTTCAACTGTAAGTTGTCATCACCCTTTATGGATCCTGTTTGTGCCTTCCCACCTACTTTCAGTTGCTGCCTGAGCCTGGAGCCTACCATATTGGCTTGGCAGCTTCTGTTTGTGTCTTGACTCACTCAGCCTGGATCTTGGAGTTAAATTAATTTAGGATTTTCCTGTGGCAACTCAGGTGTTTTAACTTTATTTACTACTTGCTATTATTTTTGCTTGCTGGCCTGGTAGATGGCCTAGTAGCATTTGCTACCTGGTGTCAAAGAAAATGTGCCTCTTGGTCACCTAAAGGAGGAAATCAAACAGCCTTGAGTCATGATCAGGATAGGAGAGCTGGTTTTCTATCTCAGTATCTGAAGATACTTTGTAAGCAGCAAATGTTCATGGTTTGAAGAACTTTTAAAAGTAGAGGCTTAATTTTAGTAAATCTGGGCTTAGCATAGATTTTCATAATTCATATTGCATTTTAATTGCGTTTTTTAAATGTTAATCCATCATTTTTTTGTCCTCTTAAATTGCTTCAAAAATTGCCCATCCTGTTATACCTAGTTTACTGACTAGTATGAGATAAACAATCATCTGAGGTAACTACCCAGTGATTGCCAGAGCAACTGTCCATACTGTTCCCAGGTTTGGAAAGCTGAATGTAAACTTTAGGGGAGGAAAATCTGCAGCATTTGCAGCTTATTTCTTGGTGTCTGATTGTTCACTGCAGCTTTCCGAGCCCAGCAGGGAGAGGTGATGAGGATGGCTTGTCGTCTGGACCCTCGAACTGGCTTCCAAATGGCTGGAGAATGGCTGAAGTACCAACTCACAGCTCCTGTTGATACTGGACCCATGAACTGTAGGTTGCCTGAAAAAAAAAAAAGGGATATGGGATTTGTTTTTTATTTTAAAACCAAGAAGAAACTGGGTTTTTGGTGGTGGGTTTTTTTAAGGGGGAGCCAAGACTCCACACTAGATTTTCAGGCTTTGCAAGTCAAAAGCAAAATCAAATCAAACCCACCCCTCCCATAATTTAGGCTTTTCAGCCTGCATATGGAAGAGCTGATGTAAAGCCCCTGGCTCCTCCTCTCCCTCCCCCAAATCTCTGTGCAGAACAGGTGCAGCTGTGTCCCTCTGTTTCAATTTTACAGTTATTTGGACCATTTTATCTCTGTAACATATAATTATTATGAAGCAAATCACA